ATGGAGTCAACTGAAAGGGTCATCAAGCTGAAAAATGCTACTGCATATTTGTGTTCAATATGGCGGGAATCGAATGAGCAAAATCATCCGTTATGTCATGAAGTAAAAGCAGAATGCTTTGCATTGGTTGCAGGGAAATCTGTTGACAAGCTCCTTGAGGTAACATGCTCATTGATTGAGGGAGGATGGTGTGCTTGCCATGTTAAGGAAGTGCTGACTATGTTTGGCGCAGTCGTTGATATCCTGCACAACGTTCAGGGCTTACCTTTGAATATATCTGATGAGGTCGTTGGTATTCTGAGGAAGATGGTGGTGGATGGTTTCAGTGCAATACTTAGTGGAACTGCTAGTGACGTGGATAACAGCGAAGGATGTGGTATTCATCAGGCAACTGTTGTTTTCAAACAAGTCTTGCGATTTTTATGCAGCAACACAGATATGGTGCAGTCAATACTTGCTACTGGAGGGTGCACCATTGATCCTTGCTCTCACGGGTTCGGTTGCTGGGAACGCAAGCTAGAGGAAGATGCACGATCGATATGCCAAGACGAAAAAGGTCTAAGGAACATCTACTTGTTGAACAACACGTACTCTGTTTGGCAAACGATGCGCCGTTGTTCAGGAGCTTCCTTGCCCAACGTGGATCTGATTAGTAGGCTCATTGTGATGATCCAGCGAGACCGGAAGAGCTTCCTTGATCAATCTTGGGTTGCGCTTATAACGCCATTACAGGCTGAAGCTTACCTGAAGAACCCGCGCCCTTCATACCTGCAGAAATTTTCTAAAGGATTTGATGCTATGTGCCGTTCCCAATCAACGTGGAAGGTCACACCGGAGCTCAAGTACGAACTGCGAAGAGAGATAAAGAGTCTACTTGTTGCACCATATGCACGTGCGCTGCAGAAGAAACCGGGCAGGTTTTTACGGGTGTGTTATCGGTGCAAGCAGTTCACGCAGCTAGGGAAGATTCACCGTGATTTTACTGTCGAGCAACTGGAACGTAACATTGAAGAGTTATATGAAAGATGAAAAGGCATCTAAAGTCAAAATGGACACTGCTCCTCAGATGACATATATAACCTACAGTTAAGTATGTGACTTTGTACTCTGCTCTTGAACACATTGCGGGGTATATGATGCTTCATCACTAATTCGTTTCTTGTGTACTATCTGGCAGGTTCCGAAAAGTTTGGGAGGTTGTACTACCGAAGCTTAGGCAATCGACGCCCGTAGTAGGGTCATTAGCTAAGTTTCTCTGCTAAATAACCATTGGACAGTGGGCCGAGCCAGGTGGATTAGTTCAGGGTTATGGTTCGGTTACGAGTTAGCTACTGTGGCGGTCCGGCCCTGCGGCGGTGACGGGCGGCGAGCGAGGTGGCGATGGGACAACTTGGTGGTGCGGGGTGGTCGGCGGCGCGCCCCCGGCCCAGACCTGGGCCGTGCGGGCCCCATCTGGGTCCTAGCGTGCCGACCTCCGGCGCGGCTTCGGTGTCTTCTGCGCGTTGGGGAGGAGGAGCAGCTTGGACCGGGGCGGCGACGCCGACGGTGTGCCTGCTGCAGCGCGAAGGTGGGAGCTTCACAGGCCTATGAGGGCCCGGCCGGGCCAGTGGGCCCACGGGCCTGGTATGCTCCTGCTATTGCGTCCGGTCGGCTACCGTCATTGACGGTGGAGTTTGAGCCCTCCCGCGTGCCGACGGTGTTGCTGCCTCTAGTCCCGGCTCCTGCTCTTCGGTGTGCAGACCTCTCTTCGTGTTTCCGTGGTGAGACGGCGTGGAAGCCTCAAGACCATGTTGGTGCAGGATGGTGGTCGGTTTGGTGGCGGGCTCTGGAGCGCCCGAGGTGAAGGTTGGGATTGGGAGAAATCCCAGTCTGCTTGATCGACACCGACGCAGTGGCGCCTGAGGGTGCCACCGGACCTCCCTGGAGGGCGTCGGGGGCTACCCTTCCTCTCTCCTCATCGCGTATCGGGGGAAACCCTTGGCAGCAGCGTTGTCACCATCGTGTCCCTTCTTGGAGGTGTTGATCGGTACCGGCACTTCAGAGTCTAGGAGCTAGGTGGGAGATTTTCGGCGGGAGCAGCGGTCACGAGGCTTCTTTGATTTTGTCGATCCGCCATTGTCGGCATTCTTTTGTCTTTCTCTTTCAGTTTTTTTGGGCGTGTCTGTGCTGCTTCCGCCCCAGCACCTATCATTGGTTGTATCGGTTGGTTGCTTTGTAATACAAAGTAGGGGAAACCCTTTTCCGGAGACGAGTTAGCTACTTGTATAGTATGAGTTTGTTCGATGGGCCTTTTTTATATACGAGGAGAGATGTGCTGACGGGTGGGCCCCTGGTCCAACTTAACGCATTTACCGTGTTAATAACATTAGGACCCACTGCTCAAAAAAAAAACATTAGGACCCGGATCCCAAATGTTCGTTTCTTACCATCACAATGGAACGCTTTTATGGCAATTTTAATGACACGAGAATAGCAAGTTTAGTTGGAGGTAATTGCCTTTGGCTCCTAGGTGCATATGCACCAATTGTCGAAATACACATTTCGAAAAGTTGAAAAATTCCGAACAAAAATCCCGCGTGTATATCCGGACATTTTATGTGCGTGCACAAGGTTTCAGTGAAAAACAATGTTTTTTGTGGCTTGTGTAAAAAAGACAAATTCTGATGCTTCATTCTAACTATTCACGAGGCATTTCTTTATCTTTTTTACACAAGCCACAAAAAACATCGTTTTTTATCGAAACCTTGTGAACGCACATAAAATGTCCAGATATACACGTGGGATTTTTATTCCGAATTTTTTAACTTTTCAAAATGTGTATTTCGACAATGGATGCATATGCACCTAGGAGCCAAAACGCCGCTCGTTTAGTTGGCAAAGCATGGTAAATACGTGCTCAGTGTATTTTTTTGCTAGAAAATTGTGGTGTGTGTCAAGTGAACTTGTCATCTTCCTGACACTTATGTCTCGACCCCGACAAGTCATAAACCGGATTAATTTTATGCTGAACGGTCATTTGAGTTTTTAAACAAAAAATCAGCTTTGTGGTAGCTATCAGCGACAAGAAAAAGGTGTAATTCTACGAAACCCTACGGGCAGTTTTATGTCATTTAATCCCCTTCTGGCAGCATCCGCCCCATTTCGGGTCAGCTACCCCGAGCCTTGCCCCAAATCTGGGCCAGGCTTTGCTCCGGCAGTGGCCGCTCATCCATGAGCTTGTTCAGCTTAAGACGTGCTTTGTTCTCAGCAAAAAAGACGTGTTTTGTCGAGTTGTGGAATGAAACATAGCAAAGACATAAGTACTCCCTCCGTTCCTAAATATAAGTTTTTATAGAGATTTCATTAGATGGACTACATACGGAGCAAAATGAATAAATCTAAACTTAAAATGCATCTATATACATCCGTATGCGGTTTATACTGGAATCTCTACAAAGACTTACATTTAGGAACGGAGGGAGTACTCGAGAAGCATGGAATTCCAATAGTGTCCAACCTTGCAAGCAAAACTTGCAAGATCAATATGGGAAAATTAGATTAGGGTTAGAGGATTGTGAAGTTTCAATAACTTCTTACGTTTTTGTGCCATATTTGGCCTCTTCTTATTTTTGTCATACAAGACACCATGTCGGGTTTCATATTTTTAAGTTCGTTTTTATTTTCTATAGAATTAGAAACCAATAAGCTTCATGGCCAGGGTCGAGTCTTGGCACACGTACTAATGTTTGGGATTCATTTTCTTTTCTTAGATAAGGCCTAAACATAGACTGAACCACAAATATGGGTTTTAACCCATTTCATCAACGGTGTTGTGCATTTGATTAATTACAACTAGAAATGATTCGGTGCACTACTAGTATATCATGGAGCGTAAACATTCAGCTTCACGAGAGATGCAGAAAAAAATTCCGGCTCTCAAAGGAGAGATATACTATATAGTAGTATAATGAAGAGGTATTTTAAACATGGGCGCTAGTAAAATTTGCAAGTAGAGTTACCGCCATTGAAATTTTTGGGCAGGGTCGCCCGTGCGAGGACCGTCGTTCCCTTGACGCAGAGGTGGATGGGACCTCTGCAGCGCTGGAGGCCCGACAAGGAGGACAGCAGTGGGCAGTCGGCGATGCTTACGTCCCTGAGCACAGGGAAGGCTAGACTGGGCATATCATCCCACGCCACCAGCCTCGGCATGTCGTCGAGCACCATCTCCTTCAGTGCCGGGAACGCACCGCCGCTGCAGAAGTCACCGTCGATCCTCTCGACGCAGGGCAGCTCCTTGATATCGAGAAGCTCCAGGCAAGGAAGCCCGCCGACGGCAGGCAGGGCCTGCAGCCTCCTGCAGTTCCTGAGGTACAGGCGCGCCAGGTTGACCATCATGCCCCGGCCCAACCAAGTCGGCGACGTCGCCCCAGGGTACCTCGTGATGCGCAGCTCATGGAGGCCCCGGTGAGGCTCGAGACCTTCAAGGACGGCAGCGGCGTCGGAGTCGGCAGGTCCACCGTCAACTCGCCGTGGATCTAGAGGCCTCCATTCAAGCTTGAGGACCTTGATGGCACTCTTGTTGTCGAGTCGAGCCTTGATGGCCTCCTCCTTGCCGGCGACGGCGTCGAGTCCCTTTATGCTCAGCGTCCCTCGCAGAGAGTTCATCCCGCCAAGCTCTGACATGGTGTGCCCTTGTTTCTCTGACGCCCTGACGGCCTTGAACTCGATGGATCCTTGCAGTTTACGCATCCTCCCGATGCCACTGATGTTGGCGATGCACTCCATGTCCATGTCGAGGTGTCGCATGTTGACGAGCCTGTTCATCCTTTTGGGAAACCTCTGCAGCCGACAGGTATTCTGCATCTTCCCCCCAAGGCTGAAGGTCTGGAGAAACAGTAACCCGGTGACCTCATCACACAGATTCCTCATGGTGCTCGGAAGCCCAAGGTAGCGGACATGTTTCAGCTTGCCGATAGTTCCTGGCAGCTGTGTTAGTCCTGTCTCTGTCAGGTCCAGTACTCTCACGCCCTTGAACAGTTTGAGTATACCCTTGTCAACTGGAGTACTCTGTCAACTGTACTGATCAAGGGCGTCGATGATGTTGAATCATCATCATCATCATCACCATGATTGCTCTGTAGGACTAGCAGGGTCCTCATATTGCTGAGTACTATGATTTTAGGATATGCCTTGAGCTGATCAAGAGAGCTGCTGGTGACAGACAAGTGACGAACTGTGGGAGGGATGCTTCTCACTGCTGTGCCGGAGATGCTGATGCAGTTCTTGGTAGAGGCCATGCGTATCATCCAATGGACCTGCTCATGGATCACATAGGTCGTCCCGTTGCCTCCAGCTGGTTCGCCTCCTTCTTCTTGGAACAATGAACGATCCACCAGGCTATGGAAGTAGTCTGTGGCGACATCCTCCATGCTCCGACCTTCTTGTTGGGCGTCCTCCTCGACGAAACCATGAGCTATCCACATCTTGGTCAACTTCTCAGCCTCGAACCTCCAATTGTATGGGAATATGCTGCAGAACTCGAAGCAGCGCTGCAGGCGCGGCAAGAGATGGCGATACGTGAACAGATGGGCCTGTAACACGGTGTCCAAATGATGCTCAACGTTGTGCAATATGTCGCACCTCTTGTCAACTGTGGTTTGTTTCCTCAACTCGTGGCCGATCTCCACGGCCGCCAACGGGGACCCCTTCATCTTGGACACCTGCTTGTTTACGAGCTGTTGAATTTTTTTGTCATCATTGTCAATAGTACCATCGGTCCTTAGCTTGGCGGTGTGGTTGAGTAGAAGTGTCATCTCCTTGGGTTTGATTCCATTTAGGATGATGCTTGCAGCTGCTTTGAATGTCACTGAACAAATCTTGGCACGAGTCGTCATCACGATTCGGCTTCCACCTTGGGCAAAGCTCATTATTGATTCCAGCGCCAGCGATGCCTGCTCCCTCTCCTCCTCGTTGGTCGCCAACTCATGGTTCCATACATCATCGAGCACCAGAAGGCACCTCTTGGATGCCAATAGGTTTTCCATCTTCTTCTGAAGGCTTGAGACGTTCATATCGCCGACAGGCCTATCAGCAGACCTCCAGATCTCTTTCAGGAGGTCCAACTCCTTGTTCTTGCCATAGGCGTGCACCCATATGCAAAGATCAAACTTTCCTTTGGCGTCCCGAAACACCTGGCGAGCAAGCTCTGTCTTCCCCATCCCGGCATGGCCGACGATGGCGATAACCCGCCGCGCCTTGGCGTCCACCTTCACCAGCTTGTGGCCATTCTGCTGCGGCCACAACATAGAGACCAGCTGGGCATACTCGTCCTGGTACCCGAAGAAGCTCCTCTTGTCCCTCATGGTGTGCTGGCCAGTTTCTGCTTTTGGCGACATGGAAGGGCCTGCGCCATGTCGGAGTTCCCGCGCCCTGTCCCGGGTCTCGTCTAGATTCTTGAGCACTTTCACCAGCTGACGCGACAACTCAACTTTCTTGCCGTGCAGGCGCTTCTTATTTCTTGTTATGTAATTACCGGTTGTCTCGATGTCATGGATCTCCAGCTGAAACAGGTCCAAGATCTCCTCCACGCGGTGGACGTCGTCTTTGAGCCGCCATAGCCGGTCAAGCTTGCCCTGGTCGTTGACGAAGTCGGTGCTGTGTGGGTCGAGGTGCCACTTGATGTCATATAGATCGTCCGCCAGTTTTTGCAGCATCTCCGTGCTGTCCCCGTAGAGCATGCACTTGGAGGCTGCGCACTCCCGTGCAATCTCCATGAGCTTGGTGATGTGAGGCGCTAGGAACCACCCCATGACTGAAACCCCAACGCCTAGTTCTCCTACCACCACCATGAGCTGGTGATCGATGCAGCTTAATTCAGTCCCACGTCACCCTGCATGCATGAAAATACAACGTTTTTAAAACGCGACGTCAGATTTTTTAATTAACACTGTCAAATCAAACATTTTTCATGGCAATTATAATTGTGGCAAGGATTTTTCTTTAGCAAGCAAGGTAAATCCTGGTAACTGAACATGGCAAGGATGCTGCTATTTTTTTTTCAATCCTCGCAACAACTATAAATGCTATGAAAAACGTTTGATTGAACATGGTCAAACAACGAACGTTTGATTTGTCGAAATCCAATGGTCTTAATTGCGTGTTTTTATTAACTCAAACATCCAACAAAACGAGAAATGACTTCTGGAATTTGGAACTTTACCTAGTGGCAGATTGTTTGCTGAGTACATTTCATCAGTACTAGGCATACATGACCTTTATCGTTTTTTTTACACTCAGCGAATAATTGTTTGCTAACTATATTATTTTCACTTGAGGAGTACTTTTTTTCTTCTCATTTCTCTTGCGAACACTTTTTTTTTGTTCTCCCTTCTCTTGCTTCATCCCTTTTGTACATTACTTGTTTTCCTTTTTCTTTGTTACGTTCTTTTCCACATCATTTTTCTTTCTTTCCGCCTCTCTATTTCCTTTTATAGACATTATGTGCATTTTTAAACATTTAGTGCATATATAATGAAAATTTGAATTCCAAAATACACTTTTTTTGTTGCAAAAATGGATAAAACAATTCTATTTGTCTTCTTGAGTCTATGTTTAGACCTTTTCCAAAAAAGTATAGGAATTCCAAATCTAATATTGCTAAATGTCTTAAATATAGCAAAACACACACCATTTAGTGTAGGAATTCCATGTCAAAGTAATTCCAAACATGCCATTTATATGCTAAACACACAACATTACATGTTTCATGTCAAAGAAATTCCAAGCTACAACTATACTTAAGTCATTTTGTCCATTTCTTTATTGAAGTTATTTAGCATAGAATTTGTTTTCTATGTTAAACACACACCATTACATGTTGTATGTCAAAATGTTGCTATATTTAAGTCATTTATGCATTCCTAGGCATTTAGTAAATAGAATTCAAATTTGAACCGCAGCTGCACGAAAAGGTTTGCAAAATTGGATTGAAGAAAATCCTATTTATATTATTGACTCTATATTTAAGCCTTATCCAGGAAAAAGGATGTAATTCCAAACCCCGGGACACAGGGACTCGACCTGGACATGGAGGTTTTTTTTTACTTCCAAAGAACATAGACAAAGACTGATGCCATGAAACTTGACATAGTGTCATTTTATGGCATTAACATGTTATGGTAAAATTTTGAAAAGGCTTCGCAGAAGTTATCGTGTACACTTCTTAAAATCGGACAATCTCCGATGAAGAATCTCAGTTTCTGGAAGGAAATAAATTGTCATTTTTGAAGGCGAAGCGCCCCTGCTTCATTTGTTGGCTTTAAAAATAATTCTTTGCTCAACACACTATTATTGTTTCATGGCAAAATTTTGCGTTTTGGGGGGTTCGTTTGTTATATTTAAGTCGTTTAGTACATTTCTAGGTAGCTAGTGAATATAATTGAAATTTGACCTACAGGTGCATGAAAGAACTAGTAAAGTTGGGTTGAAACCACTTATTTGTATTCTTGCGTCTATTTTAGGCGATGTCCAACAAAAGGGAAGGATTTCCAATCCCCGGGGTGCTATGAGCTAGTCGACCCCAAACATGGAGGTTACTGGGTTTTTCAATTCAGGATAATGCAACGAACGCCGGAAATAGACATGGTGTCATCATATCACACCTAGAGTCTGCAATAAAAAATTGGGAAGGTTTCTCAAAACTTGTGATGTATGCTGCTTAAATACCATGCCATCTCGGAGGAAGAATCTAGGTTCCTAGCGCGAACATGCCGGGTTGGAAGCCGAAGCGACCGCTACTTCATCCGCTGGTTTTCTAATTTTTTCTGCACCGAAGACACACCATTACATGTCCCATGTCAAAGTTTGGCGTTTTCGGGGTTTGTTTGCTATATTTATATCATTAGTTCCTTTTCTAGACAATTTGCTATATTTATATCATTACAAAAAAAGTTTGTCGAGTTGTTTTTGAAACAATTGGCAAAGCTAGAGCCATGATGAAAGTGCATTAATCCCCTAGGTGGATTTTGTTAATTAATGTCAACATATCTCGCATAACTAATGTTTCCTACAAGTTCATTTTGAGAAAGTTCCTCGTGGGTGCAACAAAGGAATGAAGGTGACACAACTTTTTTAATAAAGACTAGTGTTGGTCAAGCCAAATATATAGTTATTCATTTTCATTTTAGTGATCCTAGATCACATTGAGTCCATAGGCATGTTGATACTATAAAAAAGGGATTAGGATGTTTTGATGAGTTCCTTTCTCCATGTGCTTAAAGATCAAACTTCCAAACCCTAAAAACCCTAAAAAGGGATTAGGATGTTTTGATGAGTCTCTTTATTGGGAATTTGGAACATTACCTAGTGTCAGGTTGCTTGCGCGGTGCATTTCATCGGTACAAGGCAAACATGAGCTTTGCCGTGTACTTATTTTTTGTACACTCGCAAATAATTGTTTACCAACTATATTTTCTTTCACTCGGCAAACATTTTTTTCTCATTCTCTTGCAAACACCTTTTTGTTTCTTTTTTCTTCTCCTTTCTCTTGTTTCATTTCTTTTTCACATTACTTGTTTTCCTTTTTTTATGTTACATTCTTTACTTCTTTTTTACATTATTTTTTTATTTTCTTCTTTCTGCCTCTCCATTTCCCTTTGTAGGCGTTAAGTGCATCTTTAATCATTTAGTGCATATAATCAAAATTTGAACCAAAATGCATGGATTTTTATGTAAAGTTGTATTGAAAAAATCTACCCCCTTCGTCCCATAATATAAGATGTTTTTGCAAGGTGTTTTAGCCATGCAAAAACGTCTTATATAGCTGGACATAGGGAGTGTTTGTGTTCTTCGGTCTTTGTTTATGCCTTATCTCAAAAAGGTAAAGGAATTCCAAACATAAGGGCGACTCAAATATAGCAAAACACACATATTTAGTGTAGGAATTCCATGTCAAAGGAATTCCAAACACGCCATTAATATGGTAAACGCACAACATTACATGTTCCATGTCAAAGGTCAGAACTATATTTAAGTCATGTAGGACATATCCAGTGTTGACACTCAAACTGCCCGCATCCATCGGACAAGGCAGTCCGGACATTAATTGCCATCCAACGTGGTACCTAATCGGTCCTACCAGCGGGGGTGGGGGTGGGGGTGCCGGTATACGGATCGCTGCCACACACGTGTCCGACGCCCCGGTCCCATCAGAAAATCTCAACTGCAGTCGCGCCCTCCCCCAGGCGAAGCGGTTGACGCACATTCATGCCGGTCAGCACCACTCCAGTGCGGACATGACTCCCCGGCATTGATGCCCGTTAGACTGACGCGGCTGGATGAGTAGGGTGGCGCCGCTTCAATGCCTACTCCATCTATTGCGCTGCATTGAAGCCGATATCTTGGCCCTTTGGCTGGCCTGGCCGCGCCCAATCGCATCTCATCATCGAACTCCTCCTCCTCTGCCCATCCACATCATGCCCAAGTTGTCGTTCTCTGCGCCACCAGTCAGAGGCAGCTCCAGGTCTCCCTCTGGATATTGGCACCACCACCCTTGCTCTTCGGGACCCTCAGGCTTCACGGTCGCTGGCTCCTCTAACATAGAGGAGATCATCATCTCCTCCGACGATGAGGAGGACTAGGCGCTGCCACAACAGCCGGGCCTCCTCTCAGAAGCCACCTGCCACGGACAAGAAATTGTCCGGCAGATCGAGCTGCCGATGGAGGGTTGCTCCGGAAACATGGAACATTGTTGCCGCAAACCTTCATGAAGGAGGAGCTGCACTCCCC